AGAGAAGAGAAGAGAAGAGAAGAGAAGAGAAGAGAAGAGAAGAGAAGAGAAGAGAAGAGAAGAGAAGAGAAGAGAAGAGAAGAGAAGAGAAGAGAAGAGAAGAGAAGAGAAGAGAAGAGAAGAGAAGAGAAGAGAAGAGAAGAGAAGAGAAGAGAAGAGAAGAGAAGAGAAGAGAAGAGAAGAGAAGAGAAGAGAAGAGAAGAGAAGAGAAGAGAAGAGAAGAGAAGAGAAGAGAAGAGAAGAGAAGAGAAGAGAAGAGAAGAGAAGAGAAGAGAAGAGAAGAGAAGAGAAGAGAAGAGAAGAGAAGAGAAGAGAAGAGAAGAGAAGAGAAGAGAAGAGAAGAGAAGAGAAGAGAAGAGAAGAGAAGAGAAGAGAAGAGAAGAGAAGAGAAGAGAAGAGAAGAGAAGAGAAGAGAAGAGAAGAGAAGAGAAGAGAAGAGAAGAGAAGAGAAGAGAAGAGAAGAGAAGAGAAGAGAAGAGAAGAGAAGAGAAGAGAAGAGAAGAGAAGAGAAGAGAAGAGAAGAGAAGAGAAGAGAAGAGAAGAGAAGAGAAGAGAAGAGAAGAGAAGAGAAGAGAAGAGAAGAGAAGAGAAGAGAAGAGAAGAGAAGAGAAGAGAAGAGAAGAGAAGAGAAGAGAAAAGAAAAGAAAAGAAAAGAAATCCCAATGTCTTCTCCTGAAGCAGTAAATCATGAATTGGGCAGTACAGCTGCAGAAGGGAGGGGGAGAACTTGAAAAGAGGAGCCTCTTCCTGCAGCAGTGAGCTATCAGATGGCTCAGTCCTCCCCTGAAAACTCAACCTTAGATAAGTTAAAATTGATGGCAAAACCCTGGCCTGAAGAGAACAATTCATAGCCATTGTTTCAGACTCTAATAATCCCCACAACTGCCATAACTCAATTAAGACCATGCCACCCAGAGGAATAGATTGCCTTGCACCTCTCAGATTTCTGCAATGCTAAGGCTGTAGTCATATAATCTCTAATACCAGACAAATTCACACTACGAATCTGATACAGATCAGACATCCAGCTTCCATCAAATTCACTAGAACCCAAGTGACTCTTGAGACTGCAGAGGGAAAAGGTAGCATACTAGAATCAGACGTACAGAGCCTTCATACAGATAACAGAAGATTACTTCTGTTTAAAAAAAGCGGTGACCATGAGGAGCATGTAGCATCACATGGCCATGACATTCTTCCTCCAGTACTAGACACCCCTTGAGCAGATTTAGTCTACTCTATAACTACAGTGTCAGCTGTAAATAAACCCAAAGATAAGGCAAGCCAACAGAATCTGTGAAAACTTGCAGCTCACTACATGCACCAGTGGAGCCTAGGCTGTCTGAGCACTAGAGCAAAACTTGATGGGGGCTGTAAGAAGGAACACTGAGCTCAATTATTCTAATACTACACCCTCCATTGAGTAACACTTTCAAAATTGCTATTCAATGCCCTGAACCTCTCCCCATCCTCAAAGATGCTGCACTAAGACAAACAGCCACTAGTGCCACAGAAGAGAAGGTGTCTCACAAGATTAGTGCCTAAGCAAGAGGACTGTCACACAGCCCTGCCTTCAGCATCTGTTTGTTTCCAGCCTTGTATTGCCTCCTGCTGACGCTTTTTGTACAGGAGTGCTGTAAACCCATCCAGCTGAAAAAAAAAATAATGGGGAAAAATAGGAATATTTTCAGTGTATCTCAGCCAGATGAGCTCCACAACCCACACGGCTATACAATGCAGAAAAGGTGTCCCAGAGCAGGAAGGAGTGACCCGAAAAGCCCAGGAACTGTACTGTCACCACCATCAGTTATTTTAGGCACCTGAAACAACCCACTTTAAAACCAAGTCCTGCGTACTGCATCACAAAAGGCAGCCGTCATGTCTCAGGAAACTGCTGACGATATCCAGGACATTTTGCAATTTGCTAATGTAGCTTTTATACTGTATACACACACACACTTTATACACATAAACATTTCAGTAAAATGACAATATTTATGTCTTTGTGCTCTGGCATTTATGCTTGTTGTTCAAACCTGACCACGCTATTTCCCCTGCCTCTCACAGGTCCAGGAGACGGAGCTACCACCGCGCTGTGCAGGTAGGGGGCAGAGTTACAGCGGTAGGAAAATTAAACAAAGCAGCTGCTTAACAGCAGTTAACACACTCAAAATGCCCCACCGCTGCTCATGCCATTTCAGTTACACAATATTAGACTTCCAGTAGTTTGCTTCATCAACGGCAAACGCTTCCCCCCAGTCACAACTTTAAATATATATACATATATATATATATGAAGGGCAACAAATAAAGGTAGGATTAAATGTTGCCTACAGGCAGATAGCTTGCTTCTTAAGGAAATCTCTCCCTCCGCAGGCTTTAAAACATGTATATCAGCCCAAACTAGTATGTTTAAATTCACCTTCTACTGTAAAGAGAAAAGAATTATTTTTCCATCAACTAATCAAACAGAAAGTGGTTCAGATTCAGCAATATAAATATTCAGTGACTAAAAAAATGGTATTCATAGCCAAAAATAGCTGCTCAAAGCAAATTCCAAATACAGAATTACAGTATCTATATATAATGTATACTGAAATCCCTGAAAATAAATTTTCCCTGCTGCATCTGTGACCCAATCTCTGAGGTTACATCCATGCTGCGCATTTAGCCAGGTTCCTGATGTCTACAAGTGAGCCTTCAGCCTGGATTACAGATCCCACCCAAACCACGACTCAGATTCCTTCCTGGCCTACAGGGAGCTCATCTTCACCCCAGTGATGTTGTACATTGTCCATCAGTAGTAGACCAAGAGCTGCCTTCCACTCAAGACTGAGGTTTATTACTTTCTTACCCGCTGTTTCAGCTCAAAAAGTCAAACAGGATGTCTTAAAATATCTGTAGTTTAAGTGAACCTGTTTGACTTGATCCTGGACACCATGAAGGAAATACCTCACACAGCCATTATTGTTTCAGCTGGCAGAAAGCAACTGCTAAATACAAGATCAGTGCAGCATCTGCCTTCTCTCATTTGAGATTCAAATCCCTAATCTGGCCACAAAAAACAGTAGACTCATAAATTTGTACAACAAAACTCAGAGCCAGGTTGTAAAAGCAGAAATAAGAAAAGAGTTGTGCAGATGATTTTCTCTTAAGAGGAAAGAGCAGAGGCAGAGCTGGAATAACTCCAGAGCGAGCAGAGGGTAAGGCACGTACAGCAGTGGCTGCCTTCACTAAGACGAGACACAGAGCACGGCTGCACACCTGGAGAATGAAAATAAACCAACTCTGAAGCCACACACTTAAATGAGAGCACTTGGCCAGTTTGATGTTCTCCCCTCAGGAAAAGCAGTCTGCTTGCCCACCAGCAGCTGCCTGAAAGTAATCTGATTTACAAACAAGCTCCCCTCCACCAACTCCCCAAAGCACACATCAAGCAAAATACAGCTTAAGTAAGGGAATACAAACTGACTGTTCATTCCACTCCAGTTCTGCATAAACACAATTATTAAAGAGCACTTTCCTCCATACTATTTTTCAAGTAGTACTAATCCAAATGCTGAAATATTTGATACTGAAAGCTAAATCCACTTATCTAATGAAACAAAAAAATTGAGAAGCATGTTGTTTTAGTATGGGTATTATCAACTTAATGGAAGTATTTTTGAAGTACAGTTGTTAGTGGCATATAATTTGGTAAACCTGGATCTGTACATCTTAGCAAGTCTCATTAACTGTCAATGTATGTGAAAACAGAAGCCACGTTGGTATTTCCTCCGACACCTCTGTAGTTCTTTAGCTAAATACTTTCCCCCTAAAAATAATAATAAACCTACTGCATTTTTCCAGAAAAAAAATAAGTTTTCTATCAGGTTGAGTCCTTCTTAGTGTATTTCAGCACACTATAAGCAACTGTAATTATTTTTAAAATAACAAATCCTATTCCCTATGCCCAAATTATCACAACAAACACATACCACAATTTGTGGGCAATTACAAAACCTACCATGGATGAAGTTGGACAAAGGTTATGCTCTGTCTCAATGAATGGTACTACAACAGGCAACATACTGCAGGACCAGTACTGTAATTGTTTCCATCCTTGAAACAAGAGACATTTTAAAAACACCAGCTTTCAGGCCAACTAATTCTTGCATCTGTCATCACATGTTATTGCCAAGTAATGTGCAACGAACTGTAGCTAATCACACATCAACGGCATCTGTTATGCAATCATGCAGTATTTTATCCCATGCCCACATTGCAAAGCATGATAGATGAGCACCATTTTAAGAGGAATAAAAGGCTACTGAAAATACATATGGAAATGTATTAAATACATAAATGTCTTAAATAAAACTATTTTATTTCCAATCTGTGTGTTTGCATTCTCAATAATACAAGAATTCATTTTATTTTCAGTTATTTGACAATATCTGACAATATTTCAGTTACAGACAGCAGTAAAATACTTCTTTCTTCCAACAACTTTCTCTCTGTGGATAAAAGTCTTTTAACCTTTTAAGTTCAAGGCTACTTTTGTTAATTACCAGATGTTAAAAGCAACACAAATTGGCACAACAGAGGTAATTTTACAGAATTTAAAGGTTATGGTATGTTTACAGAATTCTTTGGTTGAATTTACTAAAAGACAATTTACATCGACAAGGATCACAACACAAAAAACATCTACAGCTTCATTATTTCTAGATTTCCTTTAGCATTTTCAGTGTTCACAATATAAAAGATAAAGATCCACCCCCCTCAAGAAAACAGGTAACCACAGTCTATTCAAAGGCACTCAGTTTGCTTTTTGTATTGTTCTGAAGTTCTGCAGATACCAAGTTGATATTGCTTTCATAATTTCTGACCTAACAGTCTCCTGAAAAGTTCATGCAACACAGTAAGTTATACTTGGTGGCCAAGCAGAAAAATACCATGTACTTATTTTGGGATATTTATTTTTGAGTAAAATATCCATGATCTTCACAAGTCTGATTTTACCAGACTAGGCCTTTGGCCACCTTTGATTTTTTTTTCCCTTTAACACGCTGTGCCTTCATCTTCTTTCTTTGCCTGGAATTCATCCATATTGGGTACTGTCCATGCTTGTCTAGAAGAGTTTTCTTGTTTCGTTTATTATCTATCTCCATTTTGCAGTCATCTGAAAAAGAAATGTATTTATGGTGAGTAAAATACATGAATCAGCTTCACAGAAGCTATTTCATTACTAGAATCAGAAAAATGATAGAAAAAGATCCCTATGCACAACTGTATCTGTACATAGAGAGCTGAAGGCTTTATAGACTGAAAGCACTTTCCAAACCAACACAACTGCAACCCAGAAACTCCAAGAGCTGATGGTAAATACGCAGAACTTAAAGGCCCACACCTGGGCAAAGCACCTTATTCTTTTAGTCTGCCATCTGTTCCAATACCGTGCCTAAAAACATTGTGTATGGTCTCCATCAAATGCTGCAAACATACAGGATTCCACAGGCTTAATGAAACATATGCACATTTAAACACCTTTTATGCAGCAACGTTTAAGATTGGTTCTAAAAAACTGAGTGGAAGAGATGTGCTTAGGGAGACCCAAGGTTGGAACACAGACACTCGTGGTCAGCAGACCATCAGCTCAGAAGCCTTCTGCCTGCTGGCACAACTGAATGCAGATCCAGCATGGGACAGGCAGCAAAAGACCACCCCCCTCTCAAAACCTCCTAAGACATTGGAGAAACACACAGCATTTTTTATGGTGTTTTTTTCCAAATGTCATAAAAGGACGCCTTCAACACCACGAGACAGAAACACCAAATCCCAAGAAAGCCAACTCTATATAAGCTGCTTCTCTGATTCCTGTCCTCTTACATGATTGAATCTGTTACATGAATTTTGACTGCAAAAAAGCACATCCACACTGCATGTCAGCTGCAACATTAAGTAGATTAAGAAAAAATCCTGGAAAAAAAATACCAGTTGTTCACACAGAGCAAAGTTTTCAACATACTTTACAATCTCAAGGATGCTGTAAGGAACCAGTAATGGGAAAAAAAACCTACTCAACAGAGAAGTGGCCAAAGGACATAAAGAAAACCTTGAAGAGAAAAAAAATAAGAAAAAAAAAGCGCTATCAAGGTAGCTTATCAAAGCAAACTCAATGGATATGATTGTTGTAAAAAAACACGAGCATGCTTCAAGTTTTAAAAACAGCTACAAAACCATTCTTGACAAAAGCTAGACAGAGCTTCTTAATTTTCCTTCTAACAACAAAAACTGAAAAAAAAAAATTAAAAAAAAAAATCCATGTGCTGTGAAAAATACCTTAAAGTAACATACAAATGTGTCCCTAATGTACACCTATATACCTTCTTCAGCTGGAAAACCACCAACCTATCTATGAGAAATGAATATTCCAGATGAAGCTTTCGTCTACTCCAGTCCTTACAACAGTTCGCAACATGAACTCCATTGTGTTTACAAACACAATGCTGAAACAGTCCTGTAAAGTCCTGTCAAAGACATTGCTATTTAAAAAAAGACATGGTTGTTTTGTGAAATATATACATTCTTAGATATTTCTGAGGCTGCTATCTCTCTACAAAGGCCAATTGAAATTGGCCACTTGTAGAAAAGTTACCAGCAGAGTTAGATGGGGGTGCAGGAGTGACATACAACCAGGTGCTTGCTTCAGAACCAGGCTTAAGACAATGATGTTTCCTTCAGATTCAGTGTCAGAAGGCTGACAATGTTCCAAAACATTTTGGAAATTCAATTCTAACAATCCCATAAAGAACAACTTCTACATTTGTTTTATGGGACAAATCAGAAGGATGGATAAAATTACAAACTATACTCCAAGCTACTCTTAATCTGGCAAGTATTTTTGTTTAACAATCAATTTCAGTTTTCAATATAGTTCACATAATTTGCTATTCAGCCTCACAACACTTCCCTGTCTTTCCTAATTTCTGCAACAGTGACAAAACTGGCTGCCTGACTGACAGCAACTATGAGTATTGTTCTGTATCCCCACTGTGATGTTTCAAGAGACTTCTGCACACCACATGAAAAGCTCACATAAGCAATATTGTAACAGCTTAAGTGGCATAAACTGGAGAAGCAAAAAGGCCTATGATTTAGTTTGGGCTGCAGTTTTGAAAAGATAAGATGTCTTTCTGAGTTCTGTTCAGTAGGTAGCTATTTCAAACCTTTGTTTCCACCTGCTGGGTACCTCCCTTTACAGATCACATCCCATTCAAGGAACAGAGAGCAAGATGGCATCTGTAGATAGTATCACCCACTCCTGCCCATGTGCAATGCAGCACTAACTAGCATACAAAAACAGGGTCCCTACTAACCCTACCTTGAGGCAGTGCACTTAAAGAGGAAAAAAACCTAACCACTCTATTACTGATAAAAACTGTATAAAATTGCTTCAGCTTTAGGTCCAACTTTTACGCTTCCTTCAACTAGGAGGAAAACTGTATCCTACCACCAGCTGAACAGCAAATACGATGCTGTGACTGAAACAAGCGCTACGTGATGAATTCTCACTCACCTGCGGCCTTCACAAAGAGATAGTACGTACTTCACAAGTAACCACATGCAATACAGAAGTGAGTGTCACGAAACTACCAGATTCAGTGATTTACCAGCATCCTCTGGCTTTCACAGATAAAGACTGCTCATCCAACCCATATTCTCGACCTGCAATAATCCTGGATGCGATCATGCACAGGAACAGCAACAAACACACCGCAGGACGCCCCTGCACCTGGGCGGCTCCAGCAACCGGTACCGTGACAAAAACCCCGCCCTGGAAGCGGGACGGGACGGGGGAGGGAGGAAGAGGCAGCCGGGCACGCCAAGGGCAGGCCCGGGGCACCCCAAGGGCAGGCCCGGGGCACCCCAAAGGCAGGCCCGGGGCAGCAGGGCAGGCCGGGGGCACCCCAAGGGCAGGCCCGGGGCACCCCAAGGGCAGGC